CACAAACTAGCATCCTCCCGTCACCCTAAGCTCAGTATACCGCGAGCTACAGCTGAGGCGCCGCAGCTGAAGCGGATCCCGACAATTATGTCTGGATCCGCCCAGCTGCGTGAGTGACACCTGGCTCTGCCTACCTAGAGGCAGAGCCAGCTGTACCCGCCCCCTCCCCGTCCGTTCTGCCAGTCAGCGCTGGAGGATCGGAGCGGGGAATCCAGTCCCTCCTGTCACGGCAGAGAGCCGTGACAGGATCGAGAAGTGAGCGAACGCCGGTATGTGTTCCGGATCTACTGAGCCGACCTGTGACAGTCTCATTGTCACAGGTTGGCTAGAACTATGAGGTGAGTGAAAAGCACTCGCCTCATAGTTCTCCTTTAAATGGACTTTAAGAAAAGGATTTTATGGTAAGTACAAAAATCTTTATTTAATTATATCTAGATGCATGCAAAAGTGATCAGCCTAATATGAATCATATTATCACTTGTGTTAATGTTTTCACAACCTTGCATCTTTCCAGCTTGGTTGTGCTGTACAACAGCTGTGCATTACAGCTTGTGCAGACGAGCAATGATCTGCTTCTTGAAAACACAGCTTATTACTCTGAGCTCCCTCTCTAGTGAAAAAGCTTTTCCATCTCTGTTAATGTTTAAAGTTGTCAATTACATAGTTGCCCTGATTCATAGAGGTCAATTACATAGTTGCCCTGATTCATAGAGTTAAATTTGACACTAAACTGCATATTTATGAAGTCAATCTAACATTTTCCAAATATTCAATGCAAGTGAATCTTCCAAATGGATATGTTGATTTGATTGATTCACCACTAGTGAATGTTTGTTGAAAGTAACATATACTTTATAAATTTGCCTCTTAAAGTGTATGTCCTGGATTTACCCACACTTATCCAGAAGCTCCCCTTTTTCGCCTGTAGTGTATGCCCCAGAAAAATTTATTTTTACCTTGTTACTATAGTGAGAAACCTTTTATTTGTTCCTGCTTTTATTTGTTCCTGTTAACAACGGGCTTGTAAAACTCTTGCATTATTATCAGATACGTCCATTATACTATTACATATATTTATTGGATGTCTATCAAATACACACATTTCAAAATTGTATGTTGTCACCTGTCAAATGAAATGTATAATAAAAGAATGTACTTTTGGGTCTATGAAATATTTTGTTATAAAACAATTACCAAGAGAAACCCTACTAACGACCAAAAGTGACTATTTCAGATTTCTCGTTTCTTATCACTGTGGAGACCACGAGAAGCGTAATACATGAAAACATCACTGCACAGAGGTAAGTTTAGTGGGAACAATATTAGTGGAAAACCCCCCAAAGACCGTTAAAGGGGTTCTAAACCCTCAAGTTTTTTTTGCTTATATCTACTGTTAGCAAGCAGTAAATATAGGCAAGAAGTGTAAAAAAAAAAAGAAAACGCTTGAAATCATTTTAAACTTACCTCGTTATCGCTGCGTGCTCCCACGCCGAGAATCAGGAACTGCTCGTATGGCCGCAAAGGATCTTGGGGCAGGCGCATGCGCAGTTCTGATTCTCGGCCGGGAGACGAGCAGAGACGCAAGGTAAGTCTATGGACACGTGCACCCGCATGCAGACACCGCTGGATCGGAGGGACAGAGCAGTCAGCGCTGGATCGGAGTGACGTCACACTGCTGGAGGGACACATGAAAACATGGGGAAAGAAGAGGATGACCAGAATAAGAGACATCATTTAAGGTAAGTGCTAACACATACATGGGGGGGGGAGGGAAACATTTTTTTGCCTTTTAATATCACTTTAAGCCTTTCCTTTATTAGCAGATGGCAAACCTGTAAACCATTCACATCCCGTCTAGTGGAAAAAAACAGACAATGTAAATAAATGTATTTATTATACACACAATACTATTTATACAATATGCCTAAGCAGTCTTGTAATATACATTTTAAACATAGATCAATTTGAGTGCAATGTTACTAAAGAACAAATTAGTACATGTTGGTACAAGAGCAGCAATAGAGATTAGAGATTAGAGATTTTTCAAATAGGAAACTAAAAACCTGTGCATATATTGTTCTTTGCTGAGAGGATGGGGTCTCCTCTGTGCTTAGTATTCCCAATTATCAGCTGTTTAATTGCTTCCACAGAGCAGTTTTGACACTGCGTAAACCTCTTCTCCTTTTCTTAGTGCAATATAACCCAGCCTCAGAAACCCAAAGAAGGCTTCTCAGTGGAGATCTCCATTTAGCTCATCAGCACACTTTCCTTCCATAAAAGTTTTGTTTTCAATAAAACAGAGAAATTGAAATTACACACCTTTAATACACAGATTGCCAGGGGTTGCAACAGAGAGACAGCACTCAGTAGTGACGAGGTATACTCAAGTTTTTCACTTGGAAACACAATTGGGGCGAAGTTTGTGCTATCTGGAAACCATTTAAAACCAACACTCCTAATATTTTGGGTGAAAATGACTACCGTAATTCTGATGATGCTTAAAGTGGGACTACAGCCAGAAATATTACTTTGGAGAGTTTTGATCCCCCTGCCAGGATTTTGAAGGTGAACAGATCTCCTCAAGTCCTTGTGACAGATTGTGTTTTGAAGCTTTATGAGTTTACCAAGTCACTCGGGCCACTCCGATGGAGAATACACTAGTGTAAAGGTGTGGTTAGGAGCAACTCTTAAAAAAAAACTCATCTCCCTTGAAGGTTCATTTTGGTAGTTTATTTGAATGGAGGTGTCACTTTCAGATACAGCCATATGTGTTTCGGGGGAAACAGATCCCCCCTTGTTCAGGGCTTGAGCAACAATAAGTAGTAAGTACAGGAAAATATGTACATTGTAGCCTGAATTCAGGTTGGATGAGTGCTAACTGCAAACGGGTTACACTGACACTTATACACTCACCCAGACCTAATTCAGGCCACAAAGTACTTATTGTTTCTCAAGCCCTGAGGAAGTGGGGAGCCTAATTCCTTCAAAACACATTGACTGTATCTGACATTTCCATTCAAATAAACAAACCTTCAAGCGAGGTGACCATTTTTTTAAAGAGGCGCACCTAACCACAAATCCAGGAATTGATCTTCTGTTGAACGATCCCCCCACTGGGACTAGACCATAACCAGATCTATACACTTCACGCTAACTGGTATCACAAGTAAACGCCCTCAAGGAGTACATCCCCCTTTTTTCATATTGACATCAAAACTGATTCCTACTCCTACTCCAGTGCGACCACATATCTAGCAGTTTACTAGTGGGTAAGTGACAGCAATAGGGAAATAAGTATATACAGTAAACTCCCCGTAATCCTGCATTCACATCCCGTCTAGTGGAAAAAACAGAGACAATGTAATTGCTAGATTCCAGATAAATGTAGTTCCTGGTTGCTTGAGAGTTACTATTAAAAATAGGTCTAACTAATGCCATACCCCATACTATACCATACCAGAAACTCTGTATTGACTTCATATTAATATTGAAATGCAATAATCAAAAGCAAAGACAAATAGACACGATCATTTCATGGATAATACATGATGCCGATAAGTGATAACACAGGGGATTTTCTTTTTCTGGTTAGATGAGAGTACTGGTGAGTTGAATACCAGATAACTGAGAGTTTACTGTACTACAAAACGCAGACGTATTAGAGCTGAGGATATTCCCTAAAGCTATGATGCAGTAATGAAGCCCTGCGATAAATGCAAATGGTATATTTTAACCTATTAAATTATTTTAACTACTTTCATATAAATCTGCAACCCAGAGGTCAGTTGTCACCTGCCCCACTCTATCCTCTATAGAAATATATAGCTAACTCAGGGAGAGTCCTGCTAACCATCTTGTCTAGAATTGTATTGTAACTGTACTGTCATCCTTTATATTGTAAAGTACTGCGAAAACTGTTGGCGCAAATAAATCCTGTATAATAATAATAGCATAAGTTTCCTATTCTGTATAAATGATTCTTATTACCATTTCCAGTAGGGAGAACATAAGAAAAAGGCATTGGGGCATGATGACCAGACTGATCGGGGACACAGCACAACGAAGGAGCAGAACCAATCAGCTTCTCTTTTCAGTTTAGGTTTGAAAATAAAAGGTGGATGCTGATTGGTTGCAATGCATAGCTGCTCCAGATTTTGTCTGTCCTAGTTTTGATAAATTCCCTTCTGTATATTTTAGAGTCTTTGTAAGCCTGAATTTGCTCCAATATCATATTGCATCATTTGAGGTATACCCTGTTTAAATATTGACCTCAGTTTTCAGCATTATTGTAGGTAGATGTCTAAACAGATATAAATGCGCCCTGAATACAATTTATATGATAGGCCTGGTGTAAACAAAACTACAAAAACATTTCTAGTTTAGTTTTAACAGAGTAGTTTAGATCTCTAAATACTAGAACTTGTCAAAATAATGGAAACACTCAGCAATACATACATATCAAAGAATAAGGTAATCTTTTGTAGGGATGCACCAATACCAGGTTTTCGGTATAGAGTGCGAGTGCCGATATTTTGCTGTCAGTACTCTCCGATACTGAGTACCGATATCAGAGCCTCCGCTGGCATGGAGCCAGCTTCACGGGCAATCAGGTAATGACACTCCGCCCGGATTCCTGATTTCCTGGAAAACTGGCTCCATGTTTGGCCAGCTCGATGCTGATTGGCCGGGAAACCTGCTTCCCAGCTAATCAGCATGGAGCCAGCCTAACAGCCGGCACGATGGTGATTGGCTGGGAAGACGGATTTCCAGCCAATCAGCATGGAACCGGCTGAAATCTTCCTCTGACTGAAAGTTCCGGTATCGGGGAAGGTATCGGAGCATTTGAGCGGGTACGAGTACTTGCCCAAATACTCGGTATCTGCACCGATACTGATACAAATACCGCTATCGGTGAATCCCTAACCTTTTACCTTCTACCAAACAATTTCTATCCTTCTTACAATGCTGTCAAAGAAGTTATGTGGGTAGTCAAAACTGTGCACCTCCGGTCCTTGGGATGATGGTAGCAATCTTCTGTGCTCCTGGATTTGCTATAAATTTTCAAAAATATTTAAATCTGGTGATCAGGGAGGCCAATGAAGGCATTTTACTTCTTCGTGGTCTTGATCAACCCACTCTTTGGTTAGCAGTATGCATAGAGAGAACATCATCCTGGAATACAGGAAAATCATTAAGGAACAGTGTTTGCTCTATAGGGATCACTTTCTCCTATAAAATGGCTTCATATTTCTTGCTTGTTTTACAATCATACAGAACAATAATTGGACCAAATACCTTCCAAAATAACTGTAAACCCATATCATCAGAATTCCCCTACAATAAAACACAATACACCTTGAGGGTTCAATGTGTCCTTTGAATGTCTTCAGAGATAAACCTGCCTAGATGAAAAAAATAGAATGAATGAGGGCTTTTTAGATCCTATTGCAATTTCAGTGGCTTAGGGATCCAGGTTTTGTGCCCCTCACACCAGGTTGTGTGCCATGGTGTGATGGCTTTGTTTTGAATAGCATTTTCAAAATGGCAGTCTTGGCTTAAATGCCAATTCCGTGAAGCATGCAATGCATGCGTGTTTTATTCAGACCAGATAGCAGAATTTCAGATTCAATTAATGTATGTGGTAATTCTGAAGCTGTACTTTGTGGCTTTCAACTTTCCTCTTCAGTATCTATCTACTCTTGTTTGTGAGTTTTAACTTCAAAACACTTTTCTTTTTTTGTCCATGTTTTGGTGTACTGTGTCATCATATTGACCAGTTAAAGAATTTTGCTTTTTTTCTTTACAAATTTAATATTTATTTATTTAAAATCATGTTTTTTTGCTTGGTGTTGCTTTGAAAACTTGCGTGTTTAATGGTCATTTAGTTGATTTACATTTTCTCAATTTTATCAACCATATGTATAATGTATTAACATTTTCTCCAGTTTTTGTAGGTAGAGGGGTTACTAATATTCAAATCAACTGACCTGTAAAACCAGTAACTCAGATTACTTTGTCGGGGTCAGGAAGTCACTGACCCCTGACTGTGCACCATGTCTTCCATGGCACAGTCATAACTGGAATACGTATAGTCCTGCAATTTCATCCTGTTTCTGCAAGTCTATTATTAATGTTGGTCTTTAATGTGGTCTTTCAGATTATCCTTTAACCTCTTAATGACCGAGGCCTTTTTTTTGTATAATCCACATTTTGGGCCTGAAAATTAATTCAAACCCCCAAACATTATATATTTTCTGAAAGCCAAGACCCTATTGAATAAAATGGTGGGAGTTGCATGTTGCACGTTATTAGCGGAACTTATTATGAAACCCAAAAATGTAGTGAAAAATGCACTTAAATGCCCCAAAACACATTAAAATATCCTTTTTGTTAATAAAATATAAAAGATGAGGTTAGAACAAGTAAATATATACCCAACTTGCCCATGTTAAAAATTGTGTGCGGCTGTGAAACAGCAACAACATTCAGTACCCTAAAAAGTCCATAGGTGATGCTTTAAAAGCCCCCACAGGCCATCAGTTTAGATATACGCATAAATATTGGCTCTAGCATTATTGCTCTCACTCTGGCGGGCGATACCCATCATCTGTAGTGCAATTATCATTTTCGTAGATAGGTGCACCCGACGCGTGTCTATGTAAAGACGCACGTGCTCACAGGGACGGGGGGACTTTAAAATGTTAAAATTATTTTTACATTTATTTCATTTAATATAATTTTTTAAAACTACTTTACTTTGCTTTTATTGCTATCACATAGGGGGATTACAAGCCCCCATGTGATAGAATATTGGCATTGACAGGCCCCTTTAAGGTGATGCTGGGGGTTCAAAAGACCCCTAGTATCACCTATCCACTTTAAATAAGCAATTGTAGTGCAGATCGTACTGCAATAGCTTATTGCCGGGCTTCGGGAGCCCAGCAATTACAGCTATGGGACCGGAAGTGATGTAATCTGCATCGCTCCTTGTCCCATAAAGCAGGAAAGAGATCGGTGAATGGACGTTCGCCACTCTCCTCCCCTGCTTCCTGCCGACACTCGAGATGCTGGTCCAGGGCTCACAGGAGTGGCAGCAGAGCCTGGGAAACACGGCAGGGGTGTTGGGCGCGGGGGGAGGGCAGGTTACTGGCCAGTAGAAGGAAGCTGATCTGATGGCAGCTGAGTCGCCAGAATCGCTTCTATTGTAAAGCCGGCTGCCAGCTCTACTAATGCAAACAGAGTCCCGGCGGTCTGTTTAAACGGGCCCGCTGCCAGTAATGTACTATGTACGCCAGTGGTCGTGAAGGGGTTAAGTACATGATTTTTTTTACCCCTATTTTTGGGATCCTCCAAAGTATCGTTTTGGATACAGGATTTAGTATATAAAAATATGACAAGTTTGTACTAGATTTTTTGAGCATAATTCCTTTTCTTTGCATCTAAATCTGTAAATGTTTTTGCTGTCTCTTTCATCAATGGAGAGATTTGCCATCACTCTCTCCTTCTGTCTCCCTACTGTGACATTAAGTGAGGGGAAATATTCCCAGTGAGGACACAGACCACCATAAAATCTTGTTAGAGAAGTGGAAATGTGTAGCAATAGGATCCCTGATGTGGATTGTTGTCCCAAATGTCATTGGCTGTCGAGGTTTCTAGTAGGCCTCTGTCCAAAATATGGGGGCCATGGCTAGATGTTTGCAACAAAAAGTCTAATAGAAAAGCGAAAAGAGTGCCAGACTATAATTTAGATCCATATATACTTTATTATTTGTAGTAGCAAGTTTTGGGTGCTCCAAGGTGCCCTCGATCAGGGCTAGAAGAGTGATACATTTTTTCTCAAATGAGATAAAATGTTTTCAGTTCTACACCTACCTGTATATATTTTTATTCAGTACTTAAACACAATCATAGAATGGTCTAAAATAATTAACCTTGCACAAAAAATACATTTAATAGAACTATAGATGAAGCGATATAGTTCATAAGGTTAATAATTATTAGAAATAACCATAAAAACATGCAAGAGGCTCTAAGTCTTCTGTACTCTTCCCAATAAAAGAAAAGCTTTGGCTTGCAAAATCTTACAATTTTTGGAGTGAAAATCGAATTACAGAAGGATCTCTAAAGCACATCAGTCCCAAGTTCTCAACATCAGACATGAGATCATAAAGCTGTAGGATTTTATGTTTGCTTGCAACTTACACAATAAAAGTTTTACTTCAATACCATTAAATAGATATACTATTTATTGTAAGTGGTAAAGTGAATGTCAGGGCATAATTAAAAAATAAGTCACATCCCTGCAATGCATGCTCCTTTCCCCGTGGTTTATACCTTTAAAGACACAAAGTACTGATCTGCCAGACATGCTCTGAATTGTGGACTGAGTGGAGCTAGCCCTGAGCAGTTGTGTTTTGCTAAACTACTCAAATCGTCCCACTATCCCATTCTCCACAATAGAAAGAAGAATTGTTCTGTAGTCCCAAGAACTAATTAGGGCTAATTAGGATTCTTGAGATAACACAAAATGTGCACAAAGCAGCTCTGAATTTCTAACAAGATCAACTGGTATTTTTTAAACTTATCAAAAATATGGTTTCAATGGTATATATGAATGTTTTTTTGCACACGTGTTAAAATGCACATTTTAGGCTTGAAGATTACTTAAAACCCCTCAGAATTATATTTCTTCCTGAAAGTAGAGACCCTGTGGAATAGAATGGTGCACATAAACACAATATAATGCACAATTTTTTAATAAAATCTAAGGGGGTTACTCACTAAGCTGCCGAATGAATAACTGAGCCGAACAGCAGAGAGTGAATTGCCAAACGCAGCCGAGCAGCATTCGGCTCGGTCATTCTGTTCGCTACCTCAGAGGTAGAGAACAGAAGGAGAAATGCCAGTGTAAAAATAAAAAAACCCAAAAAACAGTGTGGGGACCCGCAATGTAAAAAAAAGCTGAACCAAAGGGTTCATGCAGCCGAAGCGAGCAAAAGGATTAGCAGACCATTCAGGTAAATCCTTTGGCACTTTATATAAAACCCCCTAACAGATAAGGTTGCACCGAGTAAATACACCAATCAGCCATAACATCGTGAGAGGTAAATCGAATAACACTGATAATCTCGTTACAATGGCACCTGGAAGTTGGCGAAATATATTAGGCAGCAAGTGAACATTTTGGCTCTGAAGTTGATGTGATGGAAACAGACAAAATGGGAAAGCGTAAGGATTTCAGCGCCTTTGTCAAGGGCTGAATTGTGATGGCTAGACAACTGGGTCAGAGCAACTCCAAAACTGCAGCTCTTGCAGGATGATCCTGGTCTGCAGTGAACAGAACCTACCAAAAGTGGTCCAAGAAGGGAGAACCAATGGACAGGCGACATAGGCGACCAAGGATGCACTTTGGCAGCAAACGCTGGCACATGTCAGATCCAACAGAATAACTACTGTAGCTCAAACTACTGAAAAAGTTAATGCTGGTGAAAGTTGAGGAAAAAGGTGCCTGAGCACACAGTGCATCGAAATTTGTTGTCTCCAGAAATATATCTCATAATATATGAATACTTAAAGTGCAATAACCTATTCTACAAAATCAATACAATACATGTAATGTATTACTTTAACTGAAAACGTCTTGAGAAATGCTGCTTGGAATTCTAGAAATAAGATAGCTAACAGAGTGCAATAAAAGACAATTCAAGCGTTAACAACTGGGAGGAGTACCTGTGATAATATTAAATCATCTACTGGACGAAGAGCTCTGAAATGTTAAGGTGTAAAGTCTAAATACCTGCACTTTATAGGAGTACTAATCGGTTTGGTTTAAAATCTAATAGACATGCTATATAGGGGGGAAAAAAATAAATAAATAAAACAAACAATGGTTACCACCATGCTTCCTGCTGAACAATGGCAATAACTTCCACGGTTACTGTGGTTTTGTACTTATTGTATTTAGAGGATCTTCCTGCCATGTTGTAATAGGCTCTTTTGATTGGTAGCTTGTTTACTACAATCTGCTGTGCTCATTCATCAGAATATCACAATAGGAACTGTTGTGTCCTGTAGTCTAGGAGGCAGAGCTATTAACAAGTTCAGGCATCCATTAATATGTCATAACAGGAACAAACTTTTACAGATTACAGAAAATATAATAAATATTAAAT